TCAACACTTGCACAAAAGACAAAACATATGGTGGCGTACGGTTCCATGTTCTAGCAGAAGATTCATTCTAGTTTTGCACTTTCTTTCTTTTTTTTTCGAGAGTTTTGCACATTTTTAATGGAGGGAAGCCCTGAAAAGCACGTGGTGAGTTGGCTTGCTATTGCCGAGAAACACGCGTGCTCAGTGGTCCCATAACTGCTGAAACACGGACCTTAAAGTGAATCAACAGCATAGATACTTGGCGTGCCATACCTTCAGCATGGAAATGACTACTACCTCCTCTTTCATGGCAAGGTGGCCCTTGCTGATTGTGGGTAGTGCCCTCTCGGATAACCCGCAGGGGGGTTGAAATAAATATTAACAAGGAGCTATTTCTTTACATTCCCCCCCCCCCCCCCCCCCCCCCCCCTCTCTCTCTCTCTCTCTCTCTCTCTCTCTCTCTCTCTCTCTCTCTATCTATCTATCTATCTATCTATCTATCTATCTCTCTTTTGCGTGTTCTCACACATAACAGCCGTTTTTTCTTTTTTTTTTCTTTTTTTCTTTTTTTCTTTTTTGTTTTTTTCCGCATCGGTGACCAGCACACTTGCGCCGCAGGTATGCTCCAACCCCAACCCCCCATATCCCTCCCCCATCCCAAAAAGTTTCTCTGCGGATTTGGGCTGTACTCAGCAAGCGCAGTAAGGCTGCGCAATCAGAAAAAAAAAAAAAAGCAGCKGATGCCTGTTTTCTGACTGGTCGGCGGACCGCCGACCGATCGGCCCTGATCGGTCGGGACAAAACGGTCGGCGGTCGGGGTCGGCGGTCAGCGCCGATGCAACCCTGCCGCCGCCCCAAAAACCTGCAGTGTCTTGTGTCCAGACCTCTAGGCCCTGTCTGGTGGGGTGAAACGACACTGAAAAATCACCCCGCTATTTTTGAAGGGACGCGAAAAACGTCCTTGGCCGTCCCTTTTCAATTTCGATTTTTGCCCTGGGGGCCTCCATCCGGACATCACGGACCAGACTCCGGACCCGGACATGTTGTTCCAAACTGTGTGGAACCCGGTCCGGACATCCGGCCGGTTAGCATGAAATTTTGTATTTTATTTTTGTCCGCCCGGACGCGCAAGTGGGTCCAGGCCACTCTGGTAGCCTAGCTGTTAATAAATTCCAACAAAAGGCAAAGCAAAATTACCTGCAGCTTATCTGGATAGAGCAGAAGGAAATGGTACTCCGTCACAGCCATCGATAAGGGCTTCTGTGCCGCGCCTGCACCTTCAGACAGCTTCGAGTATTCCAACAGCCATTTGCTCTCCACGACGTTGTCCTCTGTATCGTTGGCCATTGCCAAGTAACTAGATGTATGTATTATTATAACATTAATATTTGCATAATTTTGAAACAAAACATGCAGAACACAAGTCAACCAAACAATCAATCAGCCACACCGCGTAAGTTTTCGGAATGCTCTGCAATCTTTCACCGTATGGATTTCCGGATATTATGAGAGTGAGATGATTGGCAGAGAATGCATGTCAGGTTACATCAATCTGACAACAACTGGGTTTACAATGGTTCCAGAGGGCTCCCGTCGTAAGAGGACGACGACATGTTACGGCACCCCCTAACATAGCCATGCTAAATGTAGTATATTTGGACAGTAGCAGGCTAGCAGCTTAACCATTTTATTTTTTTTCCACAGCAGAAAGATGGAAGCCCCAATATGGGGGTTAGAAGCCTAGGTACTACTCCCTGCACAGAGTAGAGCTGATAGAGAGAGCCTACCTTTCCTTAGGTGCATAGACGTGGTCCCCTCGGTTCTTGTCTATCCTGGATAAGTGGGTAGATAGACCAAGGTATGCAGGCAGCTATAGTGTGAGGCGGAAAAAAAAAGTGAGAGAAGAAGATAGCTAATCATAACTTAGGTTTTTTTTTTTTTTCAAAAAAAAAGAGGAAGCCCCAATATGTCAGCAGCAAATTGAGACCCCCAACTTACCCGTGTCAGCAGCACAGTGAGGCCCCAACATACCCATATTTTTCACCCACAGCTTATTGGTGGAAGCTCCCCAATATGTAAGGATATAGAGACCCCGACAAAACCATAATGCCAGGTAGTGTCAGGGGGTGGGGGTGGAGGGGGGCCAACGGCGGAAAGTAGGTGGAAGAAGGTGTTAGTCAAAGGGAGACGTTTTTGGTGGTGAAGCCCCCTGAGGACGACCGTGTGGCTGCGGTCGAAACCGGTCAGGGTAGCATTACCCACTGGGAACACATACTGTTGTTACTGTTGTGCGATTGCAGTGCGTTACATTCATTTGTTTTTTTGTTTTTTTTTTGGCCCGATGGGCCACGGATCAGTTATTAACCTGCTCACAACAGATACTACACTTGATCTATTTTTAGCCCAAAAAAAAGGCCAAGAAAGGTATTACACTCTTTTAACTCAGTGCTCTGCATTTTGAGTGTACTGTGTGTTGCGTGATTACTCTCGTCACTCTCGTGTACTCGCGCACTCCTATCCGACCCAGGTTATGTCAGGGTTACCTTGAATGCACATTATATTATATTATATTATATTATATTATATTATATTATATTATATTATATTATATTATATTATATTATATTAATATATTATATTATATTATATTTCCTCTGTTAGTGGAGTTTGGGCTTGACTTTGCTCAGTTTGTAGTCTGTTGATAGCAGGTATGTTCTCGTGGAATGCATGCATGCATGTGGTGAGACGGTGTACTGGCCAGTGACCTTCGATCTCCTGCGTGTCTGTGGCAAAGGTTCTGAGACAAAGCGAGTCGAGATAGTCCAGAGAGGGGGAGCGGACAAGCTGCAGAGCAGCAGATAGAATTTCTGCATTCCATTCTGACCTTCGATCTCCTACGTGTCTGTGGCAAAGGTYCTGAGACAAAGCGAGTCGAGATAGTCCAGAGAGGGGGAGCGGACAAGCTGCAGAGCAGCAGATAGAATTTCTGCATTCCATTCKACCTTTCTGGCAAAAACAAACCATCTTGAAATTCGAAAGCGGAAAACACAGCAAGCAAGCAACCAAGGGGAAAAAGAAAGAAAGAAAGAAAAAGAAAAGAGAGGAGAAGATCAATAACAGCCCACTGCGGCAGACCCGCATCTCGTTCACTCGAGTTGGCCTCCATGCTGCTGATGAGAACTGCTGAAACTGAGAGTGAAAAGAAGGAAAGAAAGAAAGAAAAAGGGAAGAAAAACAGAATCTCCACTTCAACGGGGTCAGATCTCCGTTCAGATCAAAGTGTGAAAACAAAGTAGAAAAAACTCGAAGCACTGAATCAGTAAGTGTGAACAAACAAGTAGAAAACACGTGAAGCAATACACAATAGGTTCCGATTGTCCGTCCGAAATCGGTTCAGATTGTAGTGTGAAAACAAAGTAGAAAAAAACTCAAAAGCACTGAAGCCGTATAAAACTAGCTCCGCAGATTGTCAGTCCAAAATAGCTCTGCAAACACAAAGTTAAAAACTGTACTAAGATCTCCAGGCAGCAACCATCCGCTGCTGAGTACCATAATACTACCATTCACCTTTGTCACCCTAAACCCTAAACCCGACTGACAGGTGAATGGTTCAAACTTCAAACCCTCAAATATACCAATCCATTTTTTACCTCCTGGTGAGACAGGTTAACTAAACAGGTAGGAAAGCAGTTTGTACCGGGTTGGGTTCTTTTCTTTGTCTTTTCTTTTTTCCTTCCTTTTCTTTTCTCTTTTTTTTTTTTTTTGGTGGGGGGGGGGGGGGCTAATCATGACACAACTGCCTGCTTGCCTTTGCTGTGAACGAAGATGTCTGAATGTCGTGGGCGAAGAGAGGGGGAACGGGTACAAAAAAAGTGTGTGATGAAATACATGGTCGTCGCTCATTAGACTCATTTACCTGTGAGGGTTGACCTGGTTCAGATGGACGTGGAAGACTCATTTACCTGTGAGGATTGATCAGGTTCAGATGGCCATGGTATATTCCGACCGCTGACATCCATGCAAACCTTTCGCACCTTCTTTGCAACTTCCCAGAGAAATGCACTTCACTGACCAAAAAAAACACAAAGCAAAGCAACACAGACAGACAGACAGACAGACAGAAAAAGGGGAGAAGGGGGAGGAGGGAACAAAAACTTCAATTTAAAAAAAAAAAAAAAAGGCACAAAGCAGCAACAAACGTCTTAGTTCCTAGCTGCGGCGATGTGAAAGCAGTACAAAGCTGGAGTTTGCATGCAATCCAGGCAGTTTGGATGCCAACAGACGAAACAGACGAACCACCGCATGGCAGTTGCTACTGTCTTCCCACAAACGGAATGTACGATCATTAATGCTCGTTATCGCTGTATCTAACCTGAAAGTTTCCCAAACTACAGGCATAATGACTGTACGTTCTGTTCGGGGGGAAGACAGTAGTTGAGTGCAATGCAGACCTCCTGAGTCCAAAAAGCAAAGCCATCAATATACTCGTTGCATTGTAATAATTGTATGTACTATTTAGTATTTAGTTAATTTTTTAGTATTTACTGTTTTCGTTATTTCAACTTATTTACAGTTATTTTACTATTTTATTCAATCTTATTATTGCATGTGTGGATCAGATCATCAAATGATTAACAACTTGAGAGCCCTCAAATGGAATGTTTCAGTTCCGTGGAAACGTTGAAACGGCGCACGTCATCAACAAGCATGGCACAGGCTGACACAAGCCATTGAGCACCAGCAGCTGTGCTGCTCACCTCAGCTGTGGTGGCACAGGGACACGGCGGTTCGTCCCAGCCTCTTTCCTCTCAGCTTCGCATGATGTACAGAGAACAACACATACTACTTCCCTCTCGCCTCCACACCTGACCACAACGCCTTTTTCCGTGACGAGGCCTCCGCCGTCAGCTGGTGGCCCCTCAGCGTTCCCAATGAAGCGCCAACCAAGGAAGGAAGTAGCAATAATGGTCCGTCATAGCCAAAGGTTAGCCTCCTCCCTCCTTCCTCCTTCCTCCTCCCTCCTCCCTCCTCCCTCCTTCTCCCTCCTCCTCCCTCCATAGCACAATGTGGGCTGCTTCTATTTCACTCCTCCACAGCAAGGCGACTCTCCCTGTTGTTCCTCCTCGTTCCTGCGGAGGCAGGCAAAGTCTACCAGAGGAAGGCAAAGGCAAAGGCTACCCGTCTTCCCTTGAACACAACATAACACGAGAACGAATGTATTGAAATTTGAAAGCGAATTTTCCAGTCCGATACAGTCATGATGAGGGCGATTTCTGTTTGGGGGACGATGGTAGCGGAGTCTAATGACCTGGATAAGGCAGGCAAAGAGTGGCAGCAGAGGAAAAAGAGTTTCAACGACCAAGCAGAAGAAACAAGCACAGAGGAATGAGTGAAATCAACAAGTGAAATCAAGCGAGTAAGCGCACAGACCAAGTCAAACACAAGCAGGTGCAACCTGGCAAGAAGAACGAAATGTATAGATAGAAGAGAAGAAGGAGATGCATGTTCTCAGATAGCAGATGGTCACAGGCAGTCAATCCGCTGCAACAGGGGAATCCATGCTGCCTGGTGCAGAATTCTCCAATCACTATGAATGAGATGTTTTCATTTCAAGCAGTAAATCTCGTACCTTTTTGAATTGCCGGTGGAACAGGAGCGGGCCTGTTCATCCCAAGAACGGATAAGGAGCCAGAACCACGGCATTCTGTTTCTTTGTTTTTCAGGAAAAACGACCCAAAAAAAGATGTTTTCAAGCTACATGTAGTGTGGCATGATGTACCCGGTTTCCAGCAGGTGATGCTCCCCACCAATAGACAGGAGCCAAGGGCAGAGGGCTAGTACTGGGGCTTCTCATATCACCCCCAATAGTAACCCCGGCCCCAAGTTCAAATTCAGATGCGATTAGATGAACAGAAAAACATAATTCTGAATTCATTACTTGGGGCCAGTCAGCTCAATCATGATATCTTGAGGCCGGCGCCCTTTTTTAAGCGAACCAACCAACCAACCAACCAACCAACCAACCAACCAACCAACCAACCAACCAACCAACCAACCAACCAACCAACCAACCAACCAACCAACCAAC